GCTTACAGGCAGTAGGAATTTCAGACTTACAATCAAGTAGATACTTTTGTAGTTGAGTAGACATATATTTCATGTTTGTTAGAAGGAGTGGCAGAGAAGATTGGGAAATGGCTTTAATTTTATGCCAACCAGTCTATACTGGTGATAAAGAAACTGATCTGAAGTCCATGTTTCTCTCTTCTCTATTCCTTCCCTTCTTTTCCCTGAGCCTCTCCTGCAAGCAGGCCTGACCAATCACTGACACCGCCTCATGGATATAGTTGGATCATAAGAGCTGGAGGCCAGGCACAGGGCACAACTTTCCTAATCCCTTTCCTTTTACTCCCTCCCTTAAGCACTGGATTCTAACACTGCAGGTTAACGTGTCTCTGCACCAAGTTCAGCAGGCAACCTTATTGTCTAAGGCACCAGACCAGCTTTCTATTCATTTCCAATGTTGTTTACTCTCATCGTAGAGACCTGCTTATTTATTTATTAGTATTTTAGAAAATGTGGTAAATTTAGAAAATAGAGTACTATTTAGTCTTTAAAAAGAGGGAAATTCTGCAAGAAGCAATGACATGGATGAACATCATGCATTAAAGACATCATGCTGAGTGAAATAAGCCAGTCACAGAAAGACACATACTGCTTCATTTCCCCTATATGAGGTATCTTAAATAGTCAAATTGACAGAATTATAGAGTGAAATGGCAGTTGCCAAGGGCTGGGGGATGGGGAAAATGAGGAGTTAGTTATCAATGGGCATAAACTTTCAGGTGAGTGATATGAGTAAATTCTAGAGATCTGCTGTATCACATTTTAACATAATTTGTAAGTGGAGGCTAAGCTATGGGCACACAAAGGCACACAGAGCGGTATAATGGGCATTGGAGACTCAGAAGGGGGAAGATTAAGAGGCAGGTGATAAAAATCTACACACCTGGTACAGTGTACACTACTCGGGAGGCCGCTGTGCTAAGACCTCAGAATTCACTACTATACAATTCATCCATGAATTGTAACCAAAAACCTTGTACCCCAGAGCTATCGAAGTATTTTAGAAGATAGTTTTTTTTATATGGTTAATAAAAATATACTGAACCCACGTTAATCACTTAGTCATGGAATTTTTAAAGATGAAGGAAGCATAATCCTCAATGTTCAGACTTCATCTAGTACATGTAAACAATTATGACAATACAATGTGTTATAGGCTAATAACAGAAGGATGAGCAACAATATAAAGGCCCACAGAGCAGACAGCTGAGTGTTTATTATACTGTTATGAGGCTTCCCAAGGCAGGTGATAACTGAGCTAGATGTTGAAGGGTGAGAAGAAGCTTTTCAGGCAGAAAAGACAGAAAATGGCCTTCAAGGCTAAAGAATATCATATGGATGTAGAAGCATGCGCTGACCTATAGTCAACAATACTATGTTATACACTCAAACATTTGTTAAGAGGGTAGATTTCATCTAAGTGTTCTTACCCACAATAAAATAAATATTAAAAATTAAAGACAGCTGCTTTTGTAATATAGCTTTCCAGTGAGGAAAGCGAGATTACACTAAGGTTTTGTTAAAATTTCCAAACAGTATCTGGTCTCTGTTACCTGAGAATATTTCACATTCCCTTGATTTAATTTTGTGGAGCGGAATTGCTGAAATTTTGTGGCTTGATGTGCTCTTCTGGATGATGTTGTGCAGAAAAAGATTTCTGACTATGTACCATAAACATCTATTTTAAAAAAGGGCAATTGTTTAAAATGAAAAAGCTTTTGAATTCTTGAAGATGTACATTTCCCATGTTATCATTTAGGAGACGAAATGCTGTTTTTAAGTTTGATTCTTCTTTTCTCTCTAATATTCAATCAATTCCTGAAGATTGTTCCAAATGCAAGTCTCGATAAATCAGACAATATTTCCTCAACATGAGTAAATGTCAGTGCTTTCAGCTTCCAGTTTTGTTTCGATTGTAATTGTTATTTGTGCTTTTTGAGAAAGAAGTGTTTTAAATGAACACAAAAGTTTCCTTTGTTTGATGTCCTGCAAAATGAGTACGTCTGAGTTGCATCTATTAAAAAGTCTTATATGAGTCAATTTTGTTATTGTCAGCCCCCCAGCCCCCACTTTTGTTTACATGAGTGAACTAAGAGGAAACAACTGTTATTTGACCAATTTGTTTAAATAAAAAGTGACTATGTGTCTCCTAGAAAAATGGCAGGATGTGTTTTTAAATTCTGAATGCCACAACTAAATTTAGCCAAAGTGCATTGCTTTCCGAATGCTTCCAAAATGGAACACTGTGCTTTTGATTGCTGCTTTTGGAGTCTCATTAAGACACTAAAAGGTCAAAGGAACAAGGACTGGAGCGAAATACACTCATTTACAATACACACAGCACAATTAAAGTGTAGAAACCAGCCTTACAAACCATGTGTTTCTCCCAGGATATCTGTATAATACAGAGTCCTCTTTATGTGGGTAGCTGATGCGTCTAAATGGTTACATTTATTCTGCCAAATGTCTACAGAGTTTTTACCAGTGGGGAAATATTTTAGATTGCCTACTGTTTCTTCATTATTTCTGAAGAGAAGGTGATACCAGATCAGAATTTTTAAATAAAATGACATCTTTATCCCCTTAGATTTCTACTTTTTTAAAAGACAGACATTCTTCATAAGACCTCTGCTATTACACATACTTTTAAAATTTCATGAGGTGAGAGGGAACAAAATGATTTCTGCCCTTGGAAAGTCTCTCATTGAGGGGTGACATCAGATTTTGACATAGAATACATTGAAAGTACAAACTAACTTGAAACTCAGTTTTCCCAGAAGAGTCTGATCTAGCTTGCAATCCAATTTTCTCAGGCACATTCCTGGAATTTGTTTCTGCTAGTAATCAGAAGATTATTTTCATGTGTATGTGATGATGTCCTGAGTGGAATCAGTGGGAGCTTTCCTCTAATGTGAACTCACCCTTTAATGTTTTACTTACCTAATATATTAAGAGAAATAGAATAGTTTTAAACACCTTGGTACTTGTTTTTCACATTATTTACCTTTTATTCTCTTTGGATCTTAAATGTCTCAAAACAAATTTTAACAAAGTAATACCCAAACCTAGCTTTTTGTCCTTAATTGATTACTATAGTATTTAACATTCTTGCACGTATTAGAACCTACCATATTCCAGACACTGGTTTAGATGCTAAGAATTTAGCAGTGAATCTAGATGCCAAGAATTCAGCAGTGAATTAAGCAGACAAAAATCTCTGTCTATATCAAGCTTCCATTTTTTGTATACATACCTATACTCCTTTGTCCTTTCTACTTTCAACATCTGGCAAAAAGTCCAGAATTTTTTCACCAATCTTATCATTTTAAAGGTTATATAACTTTTTGAGGGAATAACTCTCAATTATTTCCAATGTGGAGAGATATCCCTTATGGTCCTCCTTGCAGATGATAACTAAACTCAATGCTATTTAATGAGTTTTTGTTTGTTTGTTTGTTTTTTGTAAATCAATAAACAAATCAGTATTTTTCAAAGTGTGTCTTTGGACCACCTGTGTCAGAACCACCTTTAGAGTGCTTTTGAAGTTTCTGAGATACACTTCAGAGATTCTGATTCAGAATATCAGGGTGAGGATCAGGAATCCACATTTTAGTCAGCAAACCCAAGTGAGCATTACACATGCTGAAATCTAACAATTAATTACTTTTTTAGACATGGAGGTGAAGAAAACAATAATTAAATTGGAAGATGATCATAAGAAATTGGACACAAAGGAGAGCCTTGGAGTTTACAATTATGAGAAAACAATACATTTTAATTTTATTATTATTTTAGGACAAAATGGAAAATGATATTTGTAAAATATTGATAAAAAATGTCAAGACAAAAGTTGATCATGAGGTTACATACACATATACATAAAGCATATGTGTGTAGTGCAATGTAGGTAGTGAGTAATGAGGTTCACGTATCTATGGTGTTTTCCAATTTGCCATGTGGATTCTACTCTTCCATGTCCCACTGATGTTATTTGCATTTTACAAATGAAGAAGACTGGAGCACAGAAGCAGTAAATAAGTTTTCCGAGGAAACACAGAAAGTAAATAATGGATCAGGGTTACAATCCCTGCAGTCTAGCTCCATAGTCTAGGCTCTCACCCACTCCTGTCACTAAAGGGATCTAGAAATCATCTCCAACCCCAAACATACTGCTTTATGCATGAACTGTAGAGCAGTGAAAGGATTTAGCACAGTATAACATGCTAAGTGTTTATGATCTAAGGCATCATTGATCAAAATTAGCTGGGGAATAGGAAAACAGAATAAATACAGATCTATGGGAGGTGAGCATCCGCTTATACAATTCAGAGCTGTATTGCAATTGGTTCCAGATGAAAATTAATAATCTAAAGCTCCCATAAAGCTAAAATAAGTCCAAACTCCATCTTAAGGACCTGCTTCTGCATATAACTTTCTTAAGACCTCCCTATGAAACAATTTAACTGAAATTCAAGTTGAATTGTTCTCTCTGTATACATTATTTTGACCCATAACCTTTAAACTAGTTACAAGGAAAACATTAAATGCATGTAATATCGCATACTAAGGCGTTCCTAGAATGCCCTCAAGGATTATGTCATGGAAGACAAAGCTACAATTAAAGAAAGAAAAGTCCTTTAGGGTATCTAGGTTTGCACAAAATCTTATGTTTGGCTTATTATTTATTAGTGCCAGTGTGAATTATGCTTACCCTTTTTTCAATGTAGAATGCTCCAAGACACTCTGTCATTATCATTTTCTTAGCCTATCTAATCATTTAATACTTTTTTTTTTGTTACTTAGTTTTTATTTCATAATCATAAACTTAACTCTGCAATCCAGCTAGGCATGGGAGAGAACAAGGAAAACATGGAACCCAAAGGGAACTGCAGCGAGAGCACAAAGATTCTAGGATACTGCGAGCAAATGGGGTGGAGGGGTGCTCTCCTGAGCTACAGAAAGAATGGTCTGGTGGTTAAGATAAAACACAAGTCAAACTTATTCGAGTTGTCCACAGTCAGCAATGGTGATCTTCTTGCTGGTCTTGCCATTCCTGGACCCAAAGCGCTCCATGGCCTCCACAATATTCATGCCTTCTTTCACTTTGCCAAAGACCACATGCTTGCCATCCAACCACTCAGTCTTGGCAGTACAGATGAAAAACTGGGAACCATTTGTGTTGGGTCCAGCATTTGCCATGGACAAGATGCCAGGACCTGTATGCTTTAGGATGAAGTTCTCATCTTCAAATTTCTCCCCATAGATGGACTTGCCACCAGTGCCATTATGGCGTGTGAAGTCACCACCCTGACACATAAACCCTGGAATAATTCTGTGAAAGCAGGAACCCTTATAACCAAATCCTTTCTCTCCAGTGCTCAGAGCACGAACATTTTCTGCTGTCTTTGGAACCTTGTCTGCAAACAGCTCGAAGGAGACGCAGCCCAAAGGCTCGCCGTCGATGGCAATGTCGAAGAACACGGTAGGGTTGACCATGGCTAGTAGTACAGGACTTTCCTCGGCGGCAGCGTCTGCAAAGCCATCATTTAATACTTAATTTAAGTGCTGTCACCTATTTAAAGCTTTTCTTTATCACCCTACTTTACCTCATCTCTTAGTCCTCTCTTCTCTTGAAACATAAAAAAGTATTCTCGAGATATACTTGAAAGGGTGAAAACATTATTTTCTGAATAATTGGCACTGGAATTTTTCCTAAGAAGAAATCTATTTCTGGTTAAGGAAATACTTCACATCGGCTTGGGGAGAGAATATAAGACCATGAGAATGAGTGTCACCAAGGGACAAGTGAAAGACAAAAATGAATCAAAATTGGGAGTGCCAAAGAGCGCAGACTGAAGAGGGGAGCAGAGAGACACACAACTTGAGAGGAGCCGAACCCTGAGAGAAATGGTCCAGCAGATGTCTAAGATGGAACTTTCAGTCATTTGTGTGACTGTAATATAAACTTCGTTCTTCCCAAACATGTGTGGATGAAGTCTGTTACACACACACAAAGGCTTGTTTTACATGAGCGGTTTACATGACAATCAAATGAAAGCAATGGAGGTAGGTCTCAAAGCTAGAGAGGAGCAGACAAGATGAAGGAAAAATAAGCCATCAAAAGCTGAGCAGAAAATGGAGTATTAAGAAGAAGGGAAAAGTCAGAACTAGAGACCACTGGCAGAAAGGGCTGGGAGTTGGCAGAAATTCAGAGGAAGACATTACACTTCCCACTGGATGATAAATAAGGTTCAGGCTAATATTATAGGGACCTTGAGGGGTGATGAGTCAAGTGGACATTTGGAATAGTAGCCCTTTCTTTAATTACCATTTTATGTAATTATGCCTTATTCTGTGACCTATATTTTGAGTTTCTAGTTAAGGTATTTTTGTCTTTTCATTTATTCATAATTTTCTTTATGGTATATTATGCACACTGTAAGCTGCTACGTATTTATTGATTTATTTTTGTATAAGAATGAAAGGTGTGGCGGATTGTGAAGGAAAGTTTTATGATCCCAAATCCTAATTTTATAATCTTTAAGTCTTCTCCTGGGAACCTTGTTACGTTCTGGGTATTCAAATGCTTACAGAAACTGCTTTTTGAAAATAATTTTGTCTATGTTTCTATTTCTAGAATGGTTTAATTTTTAATATTTTAATGGATTGAAAGGGCTATGCTTTTAAAATAACACCTATAAACTACATTTCTAAATAATACTGTTTGTTTAATTTTCCTAGAGTTAGTTTAATTTCCCAGCAAGTATTTCAGACTTTAGGTATGTTCTAAAGCTTATGATTATTTTAACTTTGTGAGTTAAAAATCTGTGGCTAAGCGCGCTATATTTTAAATATTGGAAGTGCATCTATTTTCCTATGAGGATTCAAAATATTTGCAGTAGTTATACTTGGGATCTAGAAGCTTGTTGGAAGATGCATGAAAAAGTACTATCTGGTACCCATTATGGGTAAAGAAACCAAAGCATAAATAAATGGGTAAGGCACAGAATGGCACTTTATCTTTGGAATTATGCTCATAACTCTAACAATAATTTCTGTGCTCTGAGAAATATTTTTCATCTGCAAGAGAGCTATTCTGTTGATCTTACACATATTAGTTCCATGGTTCGCAATGAAGATTTGAATTAAGTTATGCACGAATAAGTGTAATATATTTATATTGTGATTTTATAACCACCCACCTTGTGAGGCAGATATTATTTCCACTTTACACATAAATGTGGTAGGCCTCCAATGGTTCACACTTCCATATTGACTTATGTGATTTTGGGCTGAACCACGTAGCTCATTTCTAAAGAATATAATATGGCAAAAGCAATGGGATGTCACTTCCAAGATGAAGTTGCTGAGTTGGTGGCCGCCATATTGCATGCCTTTTCTTCATGTTTCACTGGCTGGCTATGAGGGAAGCCAGCTTCTGCGATGTGAACTGCCCTATGGAGAGGTTTATGTGGTAAGAAATTGACATCTGCAGCCAATGGCCGTTGAGGACCTGAGCCCTGCCAGCAGCCATGTATGTAAGTGACTTGGAAGTGCACTTTGCCCTGTGGAGCCTTGAGATGACTGCACTCTGGCTTAGACTTTGGTTCACTCCGCAAGACACTCTGAGTTAGAGACATTCAACTAAGTGCACTTGGGTTCCTGACTCACAGAAAACAAATAATAAATGATCATTTTTTAAAAAGTGGATTTATTTTTAGATAATTTGTTATAAAACAATAGATAGCTAGTACAAAGAGGAAACTGAACTCCAGAAAATTTGTGTGATTTGTACAATATTTATCACACATAAAGAATGTAAAACTCAGGGTTTTCTGACCACTTGGTCACAGAAGGGCTCTCTAAAAGGTGACACTGAGCAGAAACCTAAATCAAGTGAGCCATGTGAACATTCAGGAAAAATGCCCAGGCAAAAAGACAGGGCAAGGGCAAATGTTCCGCAGTAAGAACAATGGAACAGCAAGAAGACCAATGTGGACAGAACAGAACAAACTGAGAAAGATGTATCAAAAAGACAGGCAGAAGCCAGATACACAGAGGCTGATAGCCATGCTGAAAACGTTGGATTTTGTTCTAATTCAGGTAAGAAGACATTAGGGTGTTTTAAGCAGAGAAATGATATGATCTGATGCACTTTTTAAAAGAGATACTTTTGGTGATTTGTAGAAATGGAAATGAAGAACAGAAGGAGGAATGACCCAGTATGGAGACTTATTGAGGGGTTCACTTGTCTGGGTAACAGATTGTGATGTCTTGGACTAGAGAAGAAGGAGTAGAAATGGTTGCAAATGGTGGATTTGGGTACATTTAAAGGTAGAACCAACAAGAATTGCTGATGGATTGGGTATAGATGTCCTGGAAAGACAGCTGTCAAGGATTATTTTTATGTATTTTTAAATAGTTTTGTAAATTGTAGGTTGAGCATCCTAAATGTAAAAATCTGAAATTTGAAATGCTCCAAAACTCAAAACTTTTTGAGCACTGACATAATGTTCAAAGGAAATGCCCATTGGAGCATTTCAGATTTCGAATTTTCAAATATGAGATCCTCAACTGTATAAACATGTAATGCAAACATTTCAAAATCTGAAAATATCTAAAATCTGAAACACTTCCAGTCTCAAACATTTCAGACAAGGGATGCCCAACCTGTTATAGTTTTGTTTAATGAAAGGGAGGATAGTGGAAGAAGAAGGGCAAATTGAGATAGAGGATGGGAAATAAGAATTTTAATTTAGAATATTGCAGAGCGACAAAAAGGCCATTAAGTATATACATTTGGAAGTCATTGGTGTAGAGATGCTACTTAAAGTCTTGGGTCTGGTGGAGTTTACCTAGAAAGTGAGTCCAGATAGAGATGATATAGGAAAACAGAGACTTGATTTATTCTGCTATTTAGTGGTCAGGTAAATTAGAAAGATCCCGCCAACAAGACTAGGATGTAGCGGCCAGTTCAGTAGGAGAAAAGCCAGAAAAGTGTGGTGTCAAGACAGCTACATAAAGCATTTCCAGGAGAAAGAATTGACCAACTGTGTCAGATATCACTGACAAGATGAGGAGACATTTACCAGAATGGACTCAGGGTACAGAGGAAAAGAAAGGTATTTGGATAAGAATGAGGAGGTTTAGTTGTGACCAAAGTACGATTTAGGATTTTGATCACTGGAAACTAATGGTTTCAAAATCATGACTGTACTTGGCTTTCACCAAAGTAGATGTCTAGATTCAAGGTGCTCAGACTTTAGAGAAGATTTGGGCTAAAGTACGTCTGTAGGTATAATACAGTCTTGACACCCTCCTTAGATTTTGAGAAGATGGTCATGAGTGTTATCTCTGGAAACAGTTGACCTTTTCTTCAGGTTAACTACCATTTTTATTTGATTATGCCCTCTGCAAACTGGGCTGAAATTAGGTTTTGTTCTTTTCTCATTATCTTTTTGGCTAGGTTTCTGGGGAGATAACACCGAACTTTCCTATTTGTCTTAGTCCATTTGAACTGCTATAACAAATTACTATAGAATGAGTGACTTAAACCACACACATATATTCTCACACTTCTGGAGGCTGTAGTGCCAAAAGATCCAGTGTTTGGTGAGGGCACACTTCCTGTTGTGCAGATGACTATCTTCTCCTTGTATTCTCACATGTCAGAGAACAGAGAGCTAGAGCAAGTTCTTACTTTTCTTCTTATAAGGGCACTAATCCCATTCATAAGTGCTGCATCCTCATGATCTACTTACTTACCAAAGTTACTAACTTCTAATACCATCACATTGTGAGTGAAGATTTTAACATAAAAATGGGAGGGGGGCGGGGACACAAACATTCAATCCGTAAGAGCATTTCACATTTTGCAATTATTTTTTTTCTAAGAATAGATATGTGTGTGCATATACACACACATACATATAGGTAAAGGATAGCACAATTTATATTTGACTTTCTTGTATTTGAGAACACACATTCTTAAAATAATAAGCAGATATGATATAATTTTCAATGTTGATTGAAATACCTAGGGAGCTACGTAGTAGCACTTTTATTTTGAAATTTCCTCTTTTTATGTTCTATCAGCATTAACCTCTCATCTTTTTCTTAAAAGAATAAACTGAAGTCTTCTTTACATCATCCCACCAGGGAGCCTAGAGCTTAACACATTCCACAGGAGCTCTTTGTATACTTGATTTGTTCACAAGCTTTATTTTTAAGGAATAAAAAAGTGAAATCTCATCTGATAATTTTTATTCTTTCCTACCTTAAAATAAGAAATTACATGATAAAATTTCCAATAAGCAACACTAAAATGTAGCTTCCTTTTGATAAGTGTAAATTTTTTTTCAAATTTCAAAGAAACAAGTTACAGCATATCTGGTGTGAAACATTCCTTCGTTTATAAGATGTAACTAAGATTTTAGGTAAGACATCCTAAAGACCTAAAGATCAATTTTCCCAATGATACATTTATGTAATCAGAGGATTTTAAAACTGAATACATTCTTGGAGAATATGATAAATGATGT